ACTGTCTTTATCTACCCCCCTTATCAATTCTTCTGAAAAATCTTGTAGGTGGTGATCATGTTCCCATGACTTCTGTCTTCCAGCGACGTGAGGTCTATTTCCCGCAGTCTCTTTTGTGTGTGTGTGTTGGGGGGGGGGGAATGGGATGTTTTTTTCAGTGTTTTTGTTTGTGTATATGATCACTCGTCCATATGTTTACAGTGATTAAAGTTGTTGATTATCTGATGCACGACCGTAGACGACTCCTCTATTATCATGTCTAATTATTCAACCCGTGCTTTTACAAATTACGTCGCTTTAAATGAACAAATCCACAAGGGCCGTGACGCGGATTTGAAACTGTGTCCGGGAGCATCCCAGACACTGCCTTAATTGACTGAGCTACGACAGGGTTAAAAGAGTTGAAACCGAAGTTCTACTGAACTTACTGGATCCCGTAGCCTCTCCGAGGCACAAACCAGGATTTTAATGTAATCCTTATTTTAAAGGATTTTTAATATTTTATTTTTAACCTTATTTTAAAGGATTTTAATGTGTAATATACGTTGCTTTTCTCTCGTGTGCGCACTAGGGCTAAAAATCGACATAATTCAAAATGAAATCGGCTCGCGAACGTGGCGTACTGTCCCGTTTTCTCTTTTGGGTCCTCTGGCTTAGGCTGTTAGGTTAGGAAACTTTCAATTAACGGGTTTCATGACGTTTTGAAACCTTAGAACTTCCTGCCCCCCTGACCTACCAGAGGACCCATAACTTGCTGTTTTGGAAAACAAAATTCACAATTGGGGCACCGGTCCTGTGTCAGGTAAGTTCACTACGGGCTCACCATAGCCCGTGCTACTTGGAATTTGTTCCGAGTAGCTGAATCTATAACAACAACAACAAACAAAATTCCAAAATTTAATTGGAAAATAAATAAATGGCCGTAGCGCATACGAGCGAAAAACTACTTAATTCGTAAGAGGACGGGATGAATTATGAAGCGAAATGAAGTTAGGTTGAATTAACACTACTCCATTACACACAGAAATCACAATAGCGTGATGCATCAAATGACCACGTCGTAGCTCAGTCGATTAAACAACCCGTCCTCGACTCAAGTCCATTACATTCAGCGGTCAACCCCACAGACGCATTCATAAATTTTAACATGCTGTTTATTCAAAACGGGAATTTTCTCAAGTATAAATTAATATTATAATATATTAGCATATTGTGCATATATAGGCATAGGTTAGGTTAGGTTAGGTGTTTAAGTTCTGTTGGCGATTATTTGTATTTGTAGTATGTGGGTGAAGCATTTACAGCTTTGTGGTTCGAACAAAATTCGTGAGTGAAGCACTTGTTCCGGATATGTTCGAACGTCAGCAGTTAAGAGTCGTGTGCAAACCGTTTTTCCTTCATAATGGCCTTAGGTAATGGCCTTGCAGTAATGGCCTTAGGTTGAGGAAGGTTGGAAGCTGAAGCTGTTGTTTATAGGGAGGTTGGTGGTGTTATTGTGGAAGATTCAAATTTTCCAAGCAGCACGGGCTATGGTGAGCCCGTATATATAGGGAGGGTGGCTGTGGTGAGGGAGGGGTCACGCTAGACGACGTTTCCTGGTTGTCGTGTCTCAATGTTACCTTCACGTTGATCAGTGCTCGGCTCCCCATGCTAGAGCAACGCTTAATAGGATACTACCGTTGATTTAATGTTACATCAATGGTGGGGTTGAAGCCATGATATCCTTACCTAATATTCCCCGCTGCGGTATGGAAATATGCACGGTATAATGTTTAGTGGTGGTGTTGATAATGCTTGCTGAGAAGACACGTGAGTTGACCAGACCACACACTAGGTGAAGGGACGACGACGTTTCGCTCCGTCCTGGACCATTCTCAAGTCAATTGTCTTGAGACGCAATCGACTCCTGTCGATTGTCACAATCGACTTGAGAATGGTCCGGGACGGACCGAAATGTCGTGGTCCCTTGACCTTCTAGTGTGTGGTCTGGTCAACATACTTTAGCCACGTTATTGTGACTCGTCGCCAGCAAGACACGTGAGTTCCGTTGACCTGGGCTCTAGGAGACTGGAACCGCGGACTCCACACGTGAGGCCGAAGCTCTATCGCCCGAGCTATTGAGTAGTCTTGATACTGAATGTGAGGTCCAGGATTCGAGTCTCCTAGAGCCCAGGTGAATTGAATGTTCATTTCCACGGTTCTATTTCCAATATATATATAATATATAATATGACAATGTCAGACCACGGAGGAAAAATGAAACAGGAAATTTCCTTAAGTACTTTCGTATATTAAATACATCTTCAGAAGGTCAAATACAGACCTTCTGAAGATGTATTTAATATACGAAAGTACTTAAGGAAATTTCCTGTTTCATTTTTCCTCCGTGGTCTGACATTGTCACATTCTTAATCACGTGTTTATTTTCGTGATATACACACAATATATAATATATATATAATATAACTAATTCTGCATTCAGGTTATTTGGTAAGAAGAGCCAATATTTTCGTGGCAGTTTTAAAGGCGTTCAGTATCGAGGGGAGGAAGTGAACTAGAAAATTGACGATTAAGAAGCCTAATTGCAAGCAAGCACAAAGTTGTTTTAATACAATAATTACCTCCCACCCCACACTGCCCCATGCAACTAGGCTGGCCCTTATTGAGCGCCTCTGAAGCGCG